CTCCAGGCTCCGGGCATGCTGGGTGTTCTCTGCTGCATCGGCCAGGTGTATTCTTGCTCACCTTGGGGCCATGGCCGGCCAGGCAGCAGGAATGGCCTCTCCCCCTCTCCTTGCTTTATTTAAAGGTTTCTTATCCTTTAGGCCTTGGCTTAGATGTCACCTCCTCCAGAAAGCCTCTCCTGACTGGCAGACTGGTCAGTTATGCCGACTGTATGCTCCCAGAGTCCTCTGCTCTTCTTCACAACACTCAGCACTTAGGCAGGACTTGTGCCTCAGGGCACTTCATCTGCCTCATCCATCCCTTTCCTCATTCTTAGCTCACGCACTTCACAGAGTAGACTTGTCAGATGAGGAAACGAGAAGCAAGTGGTTCTACAGCCACATGGAATTCAGGGTAGACCTTTGCCCAGGTCTTTGTTTATGGGTATGGAGAGTGGGCATGTGGGTGTCACCTTTTCCTCCTGTAGAAGAGGAAGAGTCACATGACAATAGTGGCACAAAAGAGAGGCCTTTTCAAGTCAGGAGGTGTTAAAAATCAGGCCTTTCAGTAATAATGTAACTCTAAATCACTGAGGTGGTTATTAATATCTTACAATATTTTGCTTTAGGGTTCACCCATTGTGTGTGTGTATATACACACATTTAATCCTTATTAAAACACCCTGGAGGTGATAGTATTATTATGATCTTACCCAGGAAATGGGTACCAGAAGAGTTAAGTGACCGTAAAAGTTCAGTTAGGATGCAGTTATGCAGTAGAGCCTCTGGCTGTTGAACTTGGGTGAAAGCTGAGCAGTGGGGGCGTGGGTTCATAGTGCCATTGGATGAGGATGAAGGAGAGGAAGAAGGTGTGTAACTGGTTTGAAGGCCCTAATTCTTTGGGGTGAGGCTGCTGCTGTCTGTCTGTCCCTCTGATTCTAAGAGAATGTTCTGTGACATTTTCTCTCTGGGGGTCACAGCCTTCTGGCTGATGTTATTCCGTGATTCTCAGCCTGGCCCGGTGCTGGGTGGGTAAAGGGAGCCATGAGGTTTTGCCAGGTGCACAGCCTTTTGCTTTGTAACCCAGGTTTCAGGTTCAGCTCAGGTTTATTGCGTGGGTACTGTCTTTGAAGACCTCAGCTGTTGAGCTATTGGCCTGTCTCTGTCACTTGAGCTTTCTGAGTGGGTCTGGAAAAGGGAAAGGGCTGTGACCTGCAGTCAGGAGGACCCAGAGAACCCCGTTTGGTATGAACCAAAAATAGCCCCTTGCTAGCTCAAGCCATCTGAAAAAGGAGCTCTGTGCCAGCTGCTCAGAGGAGGCTCCTGGCAGAGCCCTTGGAAAACTAAGCTGTCCGGGGAGGCTGTGCCTCCAGAGAACGTTCCTTGCCTGTTCTTAGTTTGCTTTGCAAGCGCTTTAACTCATTAATGAAGAATTACTACCTGAGCCCTGCTATGTGCCGAGTTTTGTGCTAGGTGCGCAGGGTAAGTGATGCCTAAAGGGCCCTCCCTTTAGAAGCTGCAGTCTGTCTATTGGAGGGAGATGTGGGCACAGACATTGCTCTACGGACTATGGGTGAGTGCTCTTTGAGGTGTGAGCTGTGCTTTAGGAGATCTCAGTGCCTGTTTGGAGGAGATGATGATTGAGCAGTGTTTTGAAGGATGAGCAGGTGGGCAGGGGCACAGGGAGCTCTGTGAGGAGTGAGGACCTTGTTTGCAGAGGCCTGGAGGCAGGAGAGGGCCCCACAGGTTCAAAGGCCTGTTGTAAATACCTTGTGGGGAGGTGGGCCGAGACCAGGTTAAAGGAGCTTGGCTTTCATTCAGTGGTCAACAGATTTCTTTTTTTCAGCTTCATTGAGGTATAATTGACAGGTAACATTGTGTAAGTTTAAGGTGTACAATGTGACTTGATACTTATATATATTGCGAACTCAACAGATTTTTTTTTAACTTTTAATTATGGAAAATTTTAAAGATATGCAAAAAGTAGACAGAATAGAATAATGAACCTTGCCCTCAGCCTGCTTCAACAGTTAACAACCCATCATCCCCAACACCTCTACTCCACGTCACCTTGGAGAAATCCCAGAGGGACTTATATATTCTGTCAATCTCACCTGTGACTCGTAATGGATTAATCCAGAATTTGGCGGCCTGGAATGATCAGGTGGCACTTTCTGATGTCACTTCATTTTCAGAAGAACCAATGAGTTTCCCTCTTTCTTGTGTTTCAGTGGGAAGTTGGTGTCTCCAAAGTGGAAGAACTTCAAGGGCCTGAAGCTCCAGTGGAGAGACAAGATCCGGCTCAATAACGCCATCTGGCGGGCGTGGTACATGCAGTGTGAGTGCCAAGTGAGCAGGGGCCTGTGCACCTTGAGCTCCAGAGCCCACCCTTGGAAATTGTGCCTCAAAAAGAAGCCTCTTTTGGGCAGTCTGCAGAGACAGGAAAACCAAGCCAAATCCTAGTGAACTGGACACTTCTCAGCCATCAGGCACAGGGGGCCAACCAAGTGGTCTGTGTTGTGAAGGTGCCGTGTCTGCAGGAGACAGATGCGTTAGCTGGTTGCTTACAACACAGTTGCCCACTGTTATGATAGACACAAGTGCCCAATGTTGAAAAGGCAGAGGTGGAGGGAGGGGATTGTTCTTTTCAGGGGAATCAGAAAGGGTGTAGCTGACAGGTGACATTTGAAGCATCATGGAACAGTTCCCACTTTCAGCAGGTCTAAGGAAATGCAGGTCCGGCCTTGTTCTGTCTCCAGCTGGCCTGGGTGACTTCTGCAGGAGATGGCCCTGCTTGGGCCACCCTGGTGTTAGGCTGGCGTTTCCCTTTCTTTTTTTTTTTTTTAAATATATATTTTTTATTGATTTTTTACAGAGAGGAAGGGAGAGGGATAGAGAGCTAGAAACATCGATCAGCTGCCTCCTACACGCCCCCCACTGGGGATGTGGCCGCAACCAAGGTACATGCCCTTGACCGGAATCGAACCTGGGACCTTTCAGCCCGAGGCCGATGCCTCTATCCACTGAGCCAAACCGGTCAAGGCAGAGTTTGCCGTTTTCGATACCTCATGTAAGTGCAATCATACAGTATTTGTCTTTTTCTCACTTAGCGTCATCATTCCTCAAGCTTCATCCATATTGTAAAGAGAATGAAAGAACACACCTGAGAGGTCCTACCCGAGGGGAGGAGTGTGTACCAAGGGGCAAGGCTCCCTCCTTCAGGGGTCTTGGTCTCAGTGATGATGTGTTACCCCCTCTCCACCCAGATTTGGAGAAGCGCAAAAATCCCGTATGCCACTTCGTCACTCCACTAGACGGCTCTGTGGAAGTGGATGAGCATCGCCGGCCAGAGGTAAATGGCGGTGGTCATGGGTGGCTGGGAAGGAACTTGCCCTCACTCAGGAGGAGACGACTCATGAGGGCTGGGGGCCAGGGTTGGGTTCCCCAGTGGGAGACCACAGGGCAGCATGCTGGGGCCGCACTGTCCTGTCAGCTCTTGTGACCTTGAGGAACCATGGGGATGTGGGGAGCAAGTGGCTCCCCCTTCTGAGAGTGGGCTGACCAGGGACTGGAGGACTCTCCAGTGGGGACTTACCCTCTACTTCCTGTGACTGCAGTGGGCTCCTTATAAGGCAGATATCTTTTTTTTTTTAATCTTCACCTGAGGATATTTTTAGAGAGTGGAGGTAGGGGGGAGAGACAGAGAGAGAAACATCGATGTGAGAGAGACACATTAATTGGCTGCCTCCCGC